AAACATTTTTGCCATTGTAATAAGTGTTTGTTTCTCTGCAAATTCAATACCAGAGTAAAAGTTGTGTTTTTTTCACTTGAGTCATTTAAAATATTTAGGATAAGAAATTTGGTATTTTCTCTTGTTTTCTCCAAATAAATCGTTTTACATAATGAATATCAGAAAGAAATATGGAGAGGAGATGGGTGCTGTCAAGTAATTCTTCTCCTTTAAATATGAGATTGTTCAGAATAACTCTTCATATTGCCTTAGAGATCATGCAATCAAACTGGTCAAACCAGTATAAATATTTGCGTGACTTTTTTTTTATTCATTTCACTCCAAGCAACTTGATAATGCAAGGAGTTACTGAGAGTGAAAGAAAATGGGAAGACATTAGTGACGAGAAAGGACAATAAAAAACAGAATTAAAAATGACAAAAGATGGCGATTGGTGTTACATTTCAATCTCTGAAAATTGTAGATGGTAGGGTAGCAAGAAAGCAGAAGAGTGTTCCAGAAGTGAAACATGTGAGAAAAGAAACAATTAGAGTAGAACTTATGGTTATAACTAGCTATTTCAACAGTAAAATGATCAGCCCTATTTAGCAATCTAGTAGTACACTTAAATTATTGCAGTTAAAGTGCCAGGGAGGAAAATGCAGTGGAACAATTGCCATGAAAATATTTATAGAAAAGCACAGGGAAGCCACATCGTAGCAATGTAAAAGTAATTGAAGTCGAGATGGTAGGTCAGGACCAATAACATTGCAGACCATTCTTTAGATTTTGTTGAGAATTTCTAAAGTACTTATATATTATGATGTTTTTCAGTTATGGAATTTGTCATAAAGATCTTCAGAGAATTTCAAGAAAGGAAATCTAAAAAGTGAAAGAAAAACAAAGTCTAAAGACCCTGGCTTAGTATTACTGACATCAAAATATTTCAACATGTATGACAAAAGTAGGGAGAAAAACAAGTCACCAAAATTAAGTCCTACCTTACTTCTTAGTACTGCTATGTTTTCCTTGTCTGGCATGAATGAGAGTGTTTTTGAATTTGGTGCAACCTTTATATCGACATATCACATGACTACAGACATGTTACATGACACCATATCCAGGTTAAAAATAACACTACGTTTTTGTCACTGATATTCTATTTATCTATTCTATTAAGTGGGTATGTGAATGTATGTATTTATATTGTTTATTGATGTGCATAAGCAAATACTGCACCAGCTTTCACACTAGTACATTGTGTAAAAATCTTTATATTTCTAATTTTATACAGTCTTAAAAAAAAGTGAAATGTCTGCTTACAGGCAAGTTTGTGTACTTCCTTTTTTTCTATTTATAAGCTTCATTCTGAGTCCATACAATATTTGACAGGTCATAAATATGTAAGAGTAAATATGTATGGAATTTAAAGGTTGGATTGCTGGAGCACTTTAGGTGGTTGTGTTTTCACATGTAAATAAAGAAGTAGTATACAAAAACTTGAGTTTCTACTACAGACAGTTTATTCCCCTTTCTTTATATAAACTGTAGTGAAACAAAGTTCTAAATATCTCTTGGGTATGTCTGTTTTCTTTTTCTGGTCTGTAAGTTAAGTTAATTAAGGATAATCATCATTATAATAGTTGAGCTCAAGTCAGCCTTGTGCAGAGTTAGAACGACCAAAGAAAGGTTTGCATTTACTTCATCACTGAGGTTGGCATGGTTATAAGAGTTTGCTTTTCACAATCTAGTTTTCTAAGAGAAAAATGATCTGTATTTGAAAAAAACTTGTAAACTGCCTGGATAATCTGAAGGTAAATTTTGTGCAAGGCCTATATTGTAATTTGTACTATTCATATATTGTGAAAAACATTTTTGCCATTGTAATAAGTGTTTGTTTCTCTGCAAATTCAATACCAGAGTAAAAGTTGTGTTTTTTTCACTTGAGTCATTTAAAATATTTAGGATAAGAAATTTGGTATTTTCTCTTGTTTTCTCCAAATAAATCGTTTTACATAATGAATATCAGAAAGAAATATGGGCATATGGCTGAGTGATTAGAACGTTCGCTTTCTGACCATGAATCCCAGGTTCGAATCTCATCATGGTTGATTTGTCAGGAAGTAGACTTCCTGATGTTATTGGACTGGAGGGGTCAATCCCAACATGCAGCACCTTTGGAAAGTGCCTGAAAACCATACCATGGGTTGGCCCAAGCCTTGTGAGTGAAATTGGGTAGATGTAACCCTTGGGGGTCATCGATAGCTGTGCTAGCATGAAGTCGCAAGTCATCATGGCCGAGGGCTTGAGCATGCTGGCCTTGTTCAAATTGTTGATCATGCTAGATAACATGCTCTTTCCCAGAAACTGTAACTAAGGTCTGCTCAGCATAGTTGCAGTATAAACCATAGGTGGGCTCTGTGTGTGTAAAATAAACACAAATGCGCCTGAGAAAGCATCTGCAATAGGGATTGGCTAGTCACCCTAGTAGAAGGGTATCCTCGAATACGAGTGGCCAGCTATACATACATGCATTAGAAAGAAAGGGATTGTCTGTGGTCAGGAAGTAGTACAAGTATTACTGGCAGAAGAGAGCTATTATACTTATTTACTTAAAATTTATTGCAAATAAGATTACTGTAGGATTACTACATCTTGTCTATCTGGGGACTACTCTAGGTGGTATTGTATAAAGCAGTATAAAAAGAAAGAATTCAGACCCTCTCTTGTTTTTTTCTCCTCAGCTACAGAATGCAGCAGAGCAGTGACAAGATCCGGTTACTTTGTCGGAATCCATCTTACACATTTATAAATCTACCATTCATCTGTGCATTGAATATTGCTGTTATATCTGGCTTGGTGCTCCAGCTATATATCTTGAGATCTTGACAAAATTCAAAGAAGGGTCTGCAATGTAAACAATCCTGACCTAGCATCTCAACTTCAATCACATTCTCACCAATGTGATATGGCTTCCCTTGCTCTTTTCTACAAATATTTTCATGGCAATTATTCTGATGTGCTTTCCTTAACAGTGCCTAGACTATATGAATTTAAGAGTGCTACTAGATTGGAAGTTAGGTCTCACCATTTTACTGTTGAACTAGCTAGATGCAACTGTATTTTTTATTCTAAATAGTTTCTTTTCTCACACTTCTCTCGCTGTCTTCTGTCTACATGAATCATGTTCTTTTATTGTCCTTTCTCCTCACTAAAGTTTTCTCATTCTCTTTCACTCCCTGTAAACCCTTATGTCCTAGTGGCTTTATTGCCTTGCTTTGGGTGAAATGATTAAAAAAACAAAAAAGAAGATATGTATACCATGTGTATCATGATGAGCCACAGAATTTTTTCTCATCTTTTATGTGTTATGTTGTTAACATATGTTATATATAAATATATATATATAAAACATATGTTATATATATATATATATATATATATATATATATATATATAGCAACATAACAGTTCATTTTCTCCAGCAAAAGATTCATTTCTGTAGTTTACTGCTACCAGCAAGCAGAAATATTTCTCCGCCCGATGATGGCCATTTTGGTCGAAACTAGTCAAGGAATCTAAATGAAATAATAATAAAAAAACGAAAGAATATTAATCTACAGCCCAGTGTGTCTAAAGATTTTAATTTTTTAATATTTATTTATTGTTCAATATATATATATATATATACATATATATATATAATAAATGCAAAAATGTCTATCACATTTTTTCAATGAAAGGGACACAACTCTCTTTTAAATATCTCATCCTCTTCTCTTGGAAGCAGAGATCCTTACTGGTCCAAGAAAAGAGGAAAGAGTTTTAATTCCAAGAATCCCCTTAATTCCTCCAGATTTTCATTTTGAGTTCAAAAGACTTCAGTTTTCAGTGAGAGTGAGTTATGCAATGTCAGTCAATAAGTCCTAAGGACAATCACTGAAAGTAACTGAACTTCATCTGATGCAACCCTGCTTTCTATGTAGGTTGTTCAAGGGTTGGGAATAGAAATAATCTATTCGTACTGACCCTGAATGGGAAAACCATAAATGTTGTTTATCATGCAGCTTTGCAATAAGTTCCCAATAGACGAATTATATCATTGTTAATTGTTTGAAAAATATTGTTCAAGCTTAATAAAATTTAATATGTACTCAATGCACAAAGTATCATTGTTGGGCCAAAGGCCTAATCAAGAGCCCTCTGCAGGAGCTAGTTTAAAAGCCACCCAAAATTAAATTTAGTAGTATATATATATATATATATATATATATATATATATATATATATATAGAGAGAGAGAGAGAGAGAGAGAGAGAGAAAGAGAGAGAGAGAGAATTTTTTTTTTTCACTTAACTCATGTTTATCTCAAAGTTTTCATGGTTACATACATGCCACCATTCTTTGGAACCGAGTCAAACTGTTCTGAAGAATGGTTGTTCTGTTGAATCTATTTTGAAGAGTGGTTTCATCTAACCAAACTTATTCATTAATTCTATTAACATTCTATCCTTATCTTCCATATTGAGTACTCTGCCACAAAGCCTGCTTACCTTAAATTTGATGTTTGATATTGTAGCTGAAAATAAACAAAAGACAAAATTTGGTTTCCAGAAATTCAATGTCCAGGAAGTTAAGTGGACACTATTGTTTTACAAAAACATGGAACAGGAAGTGAGGAATAAAGACAGTGATTTGAAGTGATACCAACTGACCATTATTTTTTTGCTACTGAACAATGATTCGACCTTCTCTTAAAAAAACGTGTTCTTTTTTTCTTATTTAGCAAAGTCCATGAATAACAAAGAAATGATATACCTTAGCTGCTAATATTGGGATCGATTGTAAATGAGTGCAAAGGTCATTACTTGTTCACTGTTTACAAGATTGAGGTATGTTTGCTATCAAAGACATTAGTTCTTAGGATGCCACTTAGGTGATTAAGGGGTAGAGGTTGATACCTACAAATTACTTTAGTGTTCTAAGGCTACATTAGTTTCTTCCATTTATAGACTTGTGCTTATGGCCACATCACACTGAAACACTGGTTCTCATATGATCACCAAAGTTAAGAAAATTGAAGCCTGGTCACTATCTAGATGGGTGACTACTTGGGAATACTAGGTGCTGTAAGCTTTGATATGTGGATGGTATAGCTTACAGACATATCACATTGAAACACCAGCTACTGTACAATCTCTGAAGTTAAGCAAAGTTGAGCCTGGTCAGTACCTAGATGGGCGACCACCTAGGAAGACTAGGTGCTGTAAGCTTTGATGTGTGGCTGGTATAGCTTATGGCCATATCATGTTGAAACATTGGTTACTGTATGATCTCTGAAGTTAAGCAACATTGAGCTGCTTGGAAATACCAGGCAATGGAAGCTTGGATGTGTGGGTGGTGTAATGGATAATGGCTTGAAATTGTTAATTGGAGAACCAAGTTCCAAATCCAGTTGTGCTCGTTATATTCACTTATGCACAAATACCCTTAATAAAGGTATGAATCCACCTCTTCTCCCCCAGCTATGGGTTAATTAGTTAGACTTGTATCATCACAGAATCATTATTATCTCAAAAAAATTCTTACAATGTCAAAATATTTTCTGGTTTTAAATAACCTGCAAAGGGTTGATAAGCTGTAAAAAAACAATCAATCAAATTGTGAATTTTGTCAGTACTAATCAGATTTTTAAAAAATACAATTATTATTTACTTATAAATTGGTTAATAACACACATGAGCAACCTTTTCTGACGAGTGGGCTGCATGAAATATAGCTCATCATAAGGTGGGCCACACTACTAAAAAAAATTCAAGATAATTTTGCATTAAAAATAACTCAGCAATTGCATATATAAGACCATATGCATAAGTATCTGCCTTAGAAATGAGGATTGGATTATTTTTTTATGGATTATCAACCTTTTATAGGTCATGTAAAACTAAAACATATTGAATTGTAAGAATAGCTTCTTTTTTTGCATTAATAATTTTCAGGAAATAACAATGATTTTTCCAGATACAAGTCCTACTTTTTAGCCCATTGCTGTAGGGAAGAAGCGATGGATCCATTCCTAAAATTTGAACTTGGCTCTCCAATTCATCATGGTGAACTGCTATTCATTATACTACCTACATGTCATTATGGACTGAAAAAAGTTGACTTTTTTTACAATGATATTCACCTTGTACAAGGCCCAAGAGACACTCGAGGTAGAGTGTTACAGAGCGAGAGGCACAATTTATGTGGATATGTGTGGAAGATACCAGTTAAACGTAGACTTGAACAGGTTAATATTATAGTGATTGGGGAAGCTGCTGCTCAAGTGGAACTTACATTTCACTAATGGATTACGAAGGGAATGATGGTGGTTCACTACAATCTGCATGGCATGGTGAGTCTTAGCCATAAAAGCTAGATTCATTTGAGTATATAAAAAAAATGATTAAAAATAAAATATATTACTTCTCCAAATAAATAAAAATTATTATGAATGTTTCTTCTTTCTAAAGCATAAGATGGTTACATGTATTATCATCCACAGTGGAAATTGCTAATGGTTTAAAATGCTTAAAAAGTTACTGTCAACAAAATTTTACAAAATTCAAGAAAGATTGTACTTAGTCATTATATGTTTTCATGTGTGGGACAGTGTTTTTTTTAATCAATTCACACCAAGTAAGGTGATAATGCCACTAAGACTCAAGGGACTACTGGGAGTGAAAGAGAATGAGAAGACTTTAGAAAAAACTAGAAATCCAATCCTAAACAGGAAACAAAGTATCTTATCATTGTTAGATATTGTACATATGAAAACAAATGAGTATGTCCCAATCCTCATAAATATGCTGGACATTATTGTAAATGGGGGTAATATGGTGTCTAAGTAGTCCACCACTAGCAGTGGTTTACCTACTTCACGCTGCTGGCGAGTATTGTATTTTGTTGATGTTATAAAGATTACCATTTCACTTCCAACCTCCGTTTAGGTTATTCCTCATTCAGTAACCTTTCCTAGGCCACAATAGATAGATAGATAGATAGATAGATAGATAGATAGATAGATAGATAGATAGATAAGGGTCTTCGATAGTGTTATATACCATACATATGAACATTAATGGGTATGTCTCAATACGTTGGACACTATTGTAAGTGGGGGTAATATGCAGTCTGAGTAGTCGACAACTAGCAGTGGTTTACCTATTTCTGCCGCTGGCGAGTATTGTATTTTGTTGATGTTATAAAGATTACCATTTCATTTCCAACCTCCATTTTGGTTATTCCTCATTCAGTAACCCACTCTAGGTTACAACAATCATCATCATCATCATTCCCTTGACTTTTGTAATTGTAGGGTGGATCCGAATGCAGAAGCCACACTAACTCTTTTCCACAATGGTCTATTAACGGCAGCCATCAGCAATTCTAGTATAGCCATACCTATCCATTGTTTGACATTGTCCATGCAGTTATTGTGTTGGCATCCTCTCCTATGTCCACCTTCAATGGTGCCTTGCATGATGGTCTTGCACAGGTTATTGTGCTTTGGATAAACCTTCTACTCCCATTCAAAAGGCCGGGAAGGAGTGTGAACTGGATGATGGGAAAAAGCTAGATGATAATCAAACAAGTGAATGAACAGGCAGGAATGAAACAAAACATAGAACATTCTAATGAAATTTATTTTCTTCATGAAATTAGGGGTGCAATTCAGAATGGCAAATAGACTACAGTTTGTCCCTTGATTGGTTTGTAACAAAATATATTGGAAAAATTTGTTTTACAAATGATAAGCCTTTTTTTTCTCTATTCTTTCATTTTATAACTAAATCATCAAGATAACCTTTAATGAACATTGCTGTTGATGTAAATGAGTGAGATTACCTAAATATCTTTGAAATAAAATATCCAGATAAGAACAGTATATACTATTATATACAGATACAGGGTATAAGAGCAAAATTCTCCAAATTGTGTAACAGCATGGGATAATTGTCCATCGCACAAAATGTTTAATATCTACAAAAACACTAAACTAGTTGAGTTTTTTTCTTCCAGATTTTCAAATAAGATGGTTAGCCATCTTGACACCATTTGTCGTAGGAATTACTGAAAAATCCCTTGAGTTATTCAGCTAGAAAGAGAACAGGTTAAAATCATTTTGTGTCAGCCCCACTATATCTTCCCAACTGAGCAATGGTGAGAGGAAAAAGATCAATGAGGCTTTCAGTAATGGTACCAACATTTATACTCTAGCTTCCATCTTCAAAGTCTATTCAAGAAACATCAAGAGAACGGTGAATAAGTTTTAAAAAAGAGGGAACAGTAGAGAGGAAAACCAGATCAAGAGGTCACAACAGAAAGAGGGATCATCATTTCAACTTAGAGCTAAATACATTCTTATTGTACAAAGTAGAGTCCAATAGTGTTATAAAAACCTTGGAGAATTCCAGTAAGATATCTTAAATCATTTCTAACAGTTATAGCATACCTACAGATGATAATGGGTATGTTCCCATTCCCATAAATACAGTAGTGAATACCGTATGCGTTGGTCTGTGGTCTTCAGTTGGAGATTCATTGTAGAATTCACTTGATTCCCTTCTAGCAGTTGACTATTTCTTCTATGCACTGCTGGTGAATCTTATATGTGTTGTTCTTGTCCTAAGTATTATCATTTATTACCAACCTTCATGTAATTATTCTATTCAGTAACCTTCCCTAGGTTACAACACTAACATACAATGTTTCAAAGCTTAATCAAACAATTTGACAATTTTGCTGTTACATGATTTAGACAGTTTTGCTGTTACACCTGGTAATTATGATCATGAAATGTATTACATACACTACAAGTAAAACATTTAGGGATACCCTGCATTTTTTTTAAAAAACATCTTAAAAAGATATATTATTGTAGTTTCTTAAAGTAAAAGATAAAATTTAGTAACTACAATGTATTTGCTTTTATTTTTCAGTCTTTCTCTGGCTCCTCTTTCTACCAAAATGTTCAAAGTGGAGAGTGAATGTGATAAGAAAGCCCCCCCCCCCCCAAAAAAACTGAATAATGAATTTGTGATTCCAACAGTTAAGCATGGTGGAGGGTCTGTTATGGTGTGGGGGTGTTTTGGGAGAGAGAGGACTGGAAATTTGATTTAGGTCAAGAGAATCATGAAAAAAGAATGGTATCATTCAATTTTGAAAAGACATGCTATACCATCTGGTTTATGAATAACTGGAAAAAAATTCCTCTTTCAACAAGACAAGGATCCAAAACATTCTTCGTATTAATAAAAAAGTGTAAATAAACAAATAAATACATATTATAATAATTTAAGTTAGTTTTATGCACATAATTTTTAGAGAAGTGTATTTTAAAGAAAGCCAGTCAGTTTATAAAAAATTGTTACATTTATCTGTGAAATTTCTGCTTTTAGAATTGACTGTAAAAGAACCACCAAAAATATTTTGGTTAAGGTGGATTGCTTCAAATTCATTTTTAAATTCCAAAAATATATACTATTTGTATTTATTATCTGTCTATATCTCTGAGATGAGGTATTATGATTACTTACATTATTTACATTATTTGGACTGTTATCCTCATCAGTGCCATATTCACAATGTTTTAGCAGTTGCATGCTCTGGCCTACTTCAGGCGATAGAAATATTGAACCAAACCCTTTATTTTGTCCACCGGGGGGTAGATTGTTCTAGTTCCACATGCCATGCCTCTTCCAGATATCTCAGTTATTTCCCTTTAACTCAACTCTCTAAGTTTTGGTTAACCACTGTTATGGCCTGGTAGTGAACTCACAACTCTTTGGGTCTAGTCACTGGATCTAACCAGTGTTTTTATTCACTGGGCTATGTGTCCTCAAGGACATTATTATCCAATCAAAAGCATGGGCTTATGTCCATGTAAATTTGAAGCTAAGGTCAGTCTGGAGCCCCTTCAATTGTTTCAGAAGATAATCAAATTTCAAAGAAGAATGAGATCAAATTTTCAAAGAACCAAATGTTTCAACCAAGATTGAAGATGAAGTGACACAAAAAGATTTAATCCTGATGGCAGAACGATAAAGACTAAGTACGAAAAACAGTTTTTGGCTGCCACCTGAGAAGCATTTGTAAAAAGGAATTTATAAAAGTGATATATCTTGGAAAGGTATATATTTGTTTGAAGTAGCAAAGTGGTTTTGGACTACTGTAACCGAGTAGGATAATCTAGCAGGTAACTGTAATGGACTGGTCCTCATCGTAGG